TTACAAAGTAGAAGTGATGCAAGGAGGGAAGAGTATATGGAGAAAAAGAGAGAGGTTAAGAGAGTGGTGAAGCAATGTAAAAAGAGAGCAAATGAGAGAGTGGGTGAAATGTTATCAACAAATTTTGTTGAAAATAAGAAAAAGTTTTGGAGTGAGATTAACAAGTTAAGAAAGCCTAGAGAACAAATGGATTTGTCAGTTAAAAATAGGAGAGGAGAGTTATTAAATGGAGAGTTAGAGGTATTGGGAAGATGGAGGGAATATTTTGAGGAATTGTTAAATGTTGATGAAGATAGAGAAACTGTGATTTCGTGTATAGGGCAAGGAGGAATAACATCTTGTAGGAGTGAGGAAGAGCCAGTTGTGAGTGTGGGGGAAGTTCGTGAGGCGGTAGGTAAAATGAAAGGGGGTAAGGCAGCTGGGATTGATGGGATAAAGATAGAAATGTTAAAAGCAGGTGGGGATATAGTTTTGGAGTGGTTGGTGCAGTTATTTAATAAATGTATGGAAGAGGGTAAGGTACCTAGGGATTGGCAGAGAGCATTCATAGTTCCTTTGTATAAAGGCAAAGGGGATAAAAGAGAGTGCAAAAGTTATAGGGGGATAAGTCTGTTGAGTATACCTGGCCAAGTGTATGGTAGAGTTATTATTGAAAGAATTAAGAGTAAGACGGGGAATAGGATAGCAGATGAACAAGGAGGCTTTAGGAAAGGTAGGGGGTGTGTGGACCAGGTGTTTTACAGTGAAACATATAAGTGAACAGTATTTAGATAAGGCTAATGAGGTCTTTGTGGCATTTATGGATTTGGAAAAGGAGTATGACAGGGTGGATAGGGGGGCAATGTGGCAGATGTTGCAGGTGTATGGTGTAGGAGGTAGGTTACTGAAAGCAGTGAAGAGTTTTTACGAGGATAGTGAGGCTCAAGTTAGAGTATGTAGGAAAGAGGGAAATTATTTCCCAGTAAAAGTAGGCCTTAGACAAGATGTGTGATGTCACCATGGTTTTTTAAAATATATTTATAGATGGGGTTGTAAGAGAAGTAAATGCGAGGGTCTTGGCAAGAGGCATGGAGTTTAAAGATAAACAATCACACATAAAGTATGAGTTGTCACAGTTGCTCTTTGCTGATGACACTGTGCTCTTGGGAGATTCTGAAGAGAAGTTGCAGAGATTGGTGGATGAATTTGGTAGGATGTGCAAAAGAAGAAAATTGAAAGTGAATACAGGAAAGAGTAAGGTTATGAGGATAACAAAAAGATTAGGTGATGAAAGATTGGATAACAGATTGGAGGGAGAGTATGGAGGAGGTAAATGTATTCAGATATTTGGGAGTGGACGTGTCGGCGGATGGGTCTATGAAAGATGAGGTGAATCATAGAATTGATGAGGGGAAAAGGGTGAGTGGTGCACTTAGGAGTCTGTGGAGACAAAGAACTTTGTCCTTGGAGGCAAAGAGGGGAATGTATGAGAGTATAGTTTTACCAACGCTCTTATATGGGTGTGAAGCATGAGTGATGAATGTTGCAGCGAGGAGAAGGCTGGAGGCAGTGGAGATGTCATGTCTGAGAGCAATGTGTGGTGTGAATATAATGCAGAGAATTCGTAGTTTGGAAGTTAGGAGAAGGTGCGGGATTACCAAAACTGTTGTCCAGAGGGCTGAGGATGGGTTGTTGAGGTGGTTCGGACATGTGGAGAGAATGGAGCGAAACAGAATAACTTCAAGAGTGTATCAGTCTGTAGTGGAAGGAAGGCGGGGTAGGGGTCGGCCTAGGAAAGGTTGGAGGGAGGGGGTACGTCAAAAACCCTGGGGCGTAAGCCATACTAGTACGGCCGAAACCCTGAAAGGGTTAACATTTCCGCCACTTTGAGCTCAGTTTCAAGCTATTTTCAGTACTAAAACCAATCAAAATCATCTCTATTTCTGTAATATATCTTCCATTCTATCAAATGAGACCAAGAAATTGCAAATACAACTATATAAAAGATACGAGAAAACACTGCAAATTTGCTGTTTCAACCGAAAATTAGTCATTTTTTTTTTTATCTCATTATGCACTGTGTGCTGCAGGATTTGTTTTATGTGGTGCACACATACCACATAGATGTATTCTCTCATATCTAGGCCCAGATTTACCGCTCACAGCTTATCAGTGAGCTGAGCTCATGACGTAGATCTACGGTTTGGACCCTCGACATAAAGCCGTAGATCTACGGCACAGACCCTCAAAGGGTTAAAGACCTAACAGCTCCCTCCACTGCGTTGGCCAGTGCTACCACCCCAAACCTAGATAAGTGAACCCCGTCGCTGGCATACATGTCATTTCTGCCATAGGGGAGGTCCCAGTTGTCTGTGAGTGTTACTGCATTTACCTTAGTGTTTATCCAGCCAGCAATTGACACCAATTGTCCTGGACAACCATTCATTTCCAACTCCTCTCATGGGCAAAATACCACATATCACAGGGTTCCCACCCTTCTTCCTAATTATCTCTATTGCCGTCCTATACCTGCTAATCAGGTCCTCACTCCTACGTCTGCCAACATCGTTGCCTCCCGAACTGAGGCAGATAATAGGATTGCTCCCATTACCTTTCATGGTGTCGTTCAGACGGCTAACAATATCCCCCATCCCAGCCCCAGGAAAACATACCCTCTGCCTCCTCTTCCTGCCCTATCCATAAATTTCACTTGACTGTCCCCAACTAAAACAATGTTCTTACCCTCACTGGTGGGGTTCGTAGTAACGTTTTCGATGGTCTTCATTGGGGTTTCAAGGGATGCCGACTCACTCTCCTCTGCCAATGATATAAAAACATAAGAACGAAGGAACACTGCAGCAGGCCTACTGGCCCATGCGAGGCAGGTCCAAGTCTCCTACCGGCTTGAGCCAATGCACCCAACCTAGTCAGGTCAGGTCACATTGGTACTCATTGCGGCGTTTCCAGTAGACAATACACATTTGTCTGGTAGCACCGAAAATGGGTTGGAAGTCTCCTTAGTAGTCTTCTGGATCTTCGTTGTTTCTGCCACTCCCACAGTCTTCTTGATTTTCAGCTTCGTTCCATGTTAGCCAGCCACAGACCAGGTTCCTCTCTTGACCTGAGGACTCACAAAAGGAGGATTACTTCAAATCGTCTTGTTTTCGTCCGACAATCGCCGTATCTCAAGCTTAGCAACCCTAAGCTCCTCTTTTAGCTACTTGTAGAGTTGCTCAAGAGAGGACATCTTGTGCAGATTCTCGGAGAACACACTGGACAGATCTTTACGGGGATGTAAATAGCATTGATAAACATATTTGGTTGGATAAACACACAAATTGGAGGGGTTGGATTTGACTGGGACTTTCACATGAGTAAATAGAATTATCAAAGCTTATTGCTTGGGAAGCATTGAAAATTGGGTTGGGTCATTTTCTGTTAGTGGGATGGATTGTGAAGGACCTGCCTAGTATGGGCCAACAGGCCTATGTTTTTAAGTGAATGTGACCTGACCTGACTAAGAACATAAGACCTTAAAAAAGAAGGAACACTGTAGTAGGCCTGTGCACATACTAGGAAAGTCCTTCACAAATCCAACCTACACCTACCATCCGACTTACGACCTGCTCGACTTACGACCACTCGACTTACGACCTTGTTTTTTATGCCAAATTTCTGGGAAATAAACAACTATGTGTGTTGTACACAGTGTTTATCCTAAACCTTACAGTATAAAATACAGTACTAACAACATAAAAAGTAAAGTAAAACATGAAACAAAATAAAACAATAAAATACTCATTACAAAAATGTTTTGTTGATATTCAGTAGTAAAGTTCGACTTACAACCATTTCGACTTACGACCGGTTTCTCGGAACCGAACTTGGTCGTAAGTCGGATGGTAGGTGTACTAACAGAATAAATGCTACCCAAGCAATAAGAACAACATAAGAATGGAGCAACACTGCAGAAGGCCTACTGGCCCATACAAGGCAGGTCCTTATCAAAACCACCACTACCCAAAGCTACTCAAGAATTCACTCCCACACCCATGACACCAATCAAACTCATCCCCTCCCACTCATATATTTGTCCAGTCTCTCTCTAAAGCTACCCAAGGTTCTAACCTCGATCATAATAAGCTTTGATAATTCTGAGTGGGACTTGCATGTAAGTGGGACTCACGTGCAAGTCCCGCTTATTAAATCCAATTCCTCTCACTCGTGTATTTATCCAACCTAAATTTGAAACTACCCAAGGTGGGAGAATCGGACCTGCCTCGCACGGGCCAGTAGGCTTGCTGCAGTGTTTCTTCTTTTGTGTGAAGCGTCAGTCATCTCTACTTGACTCCACCTGTTGTGCATTCCATGAGTGATGGTGAAATTGCTGAAATGGTGTTAAATACAAATAAGCATGTGATAAATGGTTTGGGAACTGACAACTTGAAGAATTGAGACACTTACGCAACATACGGGAATCTTATTGAAGAAACGTTTCGCCACACAGTGGCTTCATCAGTCCAATACAAAGCAGGAAGGCATAAGGAGAGGAGTTTCAGGTAATCAGTCCCTCACTCGAGTATTTGTCATACGGTAAAAAAAAAAGAAATCTGGTGTTCTATGACTATCCTGCAAAATCCGCATCTGCATCCGGGAGGATGTCAAGATGTGACGTCCGCATCCGAATTGTACTACAAGCAGATATCTGCATTTGTATCCACATTTGCAAAATAGGTAAGTAAGACATCCGAATACACATCCGCATCCATGGATATCTAAATTTTCACATCCGATACATCCCAAATCTCAACTACATTTCTTAATATTTATTATTCCTGTAATTCCTTAGCAATTTTGGAGGCCTGGCTTGAGACAAGTCTGTTTGGGTGATAGTCCCTGAAACCTTTAACAAGGTGCTCTGTATAAAAACATTTTTATCATTGACTTGTTAATGTTTTTTAATATGCATAATTCAATTTTTATATTCACTGTGGAACTGTACTTTGATATGTTTTCTCTAGGTCCTGATGCCAAGAGGCCCCCAGGTGGTGGTGGCAGCAGTGGTGGGGGTAGTGGAGGAGGAAGTGGAAGTGGTGGAGGAAGTGGAAGCGGCAGTAGCAGCGGTGGTGGTGGCGGCGGTGGAGGTGGAAGCAGTGGGGGTGGTGGTGGCGGAGGTAGTAGTGGAGATGGACCCGTCTTCATGGGAGGACCGCTGATGGGTGGTGGACCTGGTGGTCCTCCTGGAGGTGGAGGCCCACCTGGTGGTGGTCCTCATCGTGGGCTTGGAGCAGTTGAATCTGATGAAATCCAAGTTCCAGACAAAATGGTTGGCTTAAGTGAGTATTGTATTGTGTGTAAGCACAAGCTGGCTTATTTTTCTATGTGCATGCTAAGTATCATGTATTCTATCAGAAGGGATTGTGTACTGTTGCAGTTGGCAGGTTTTTTGCAGTGAAGGGCAAATACAGTACAGGAGGGCCCCACTTATACGGCGGGTTAGGTTCCAGGCTACCGCCGTAAAGCGGAAACTCCCGTAAAGTGGAACACCCTTTTTTTCCACTTACAAATGCATACAAACACTAGATAACAAGTTTACACTAACATATATTATGTTAGCAATAGAACCAGGCATCAAAAAACAATAAAAAAGTACAACACACACATAGTGCACTCATTACTTACCTTAAAATATTTATAGTCTTAATCTAGGGTGAGACAAGTAGTGTTTATTGTAAGAAATCAAGTGTGGTATGTATGGTAGTCAGCCAGGCTACCATACCAGGCCACCCCACCCACACATACTATTCTATGATATTTAAGCATCCCAGAGCGATAAAATGTATATACAGTTCACTCATTACTTAACCTTAAAATATAGGGTGAGGTGAGTAGTATTTATTGTAAGAAATCAAGTGTGGTATGTATGGTAGTCAGCCAGGCTACCATACCAGAGAGAAAGAATGAGTGCATGAGAGAGGACAGGCGCAGAGTTATGTAAACAAACCAGGCGAAGGTAAGTTTTGTAAACAGTGTACACGTCTGGTTTGTGTACAAGTTACATTGTGTACAGGTTGTCTCTACATTGATACGGTTGAATAAATAAAGAAGAACACTCCCATTCTCATGTAACATCATTTTGAGAAGAAATGATGCTTTGAGTGAAGACAATGGAAGTAAGTCACTCTGACTTTTTTGGGTTATCCTAGGTTCTCTACACATATGTTATGTATTTATGTTATGTATCGTGTTTATTATATAATTTTGAAAAAAAATATCACTGATGGATTAATGAAAATGTGTATATTAACGTAATATACAACATTTAATGATACACCGAGCTCAGACAGCGTAAACAAACAAACTGAACAGGTTGTGGACGATCACTCGGTCAGGCGAAATAGACGGTATTAATACGTGTCCAGTTTTAGTTCATTCATGTACATTTGTAAGAGTTTGTGAAACTTTTACCTTATAATATTTTTATTATTATTATAATCAAATCACGAAACAAATACTCTTACACTGTGTACAAGTTAGTACAGAATTATAGCTATAAAGTGAAGGCATACGAAAGGAATATTTTTCTACAGTTATCCCTAGTAACAGGTGACGGGCTAGAGAAAACGTAATTCTTCCGACACTTCTACAAACCGTTTGGTAAACATCTCATATATATTTGTATAAATTTTTATACTGTGGGTTCATGCATCATGTTTGTGTGTTACATAATGTGTTTCTTATATAATTTTGAAAAAAAATATCATAGATTAAGGGAAATGTCTATATTAACGTAATATGCGACATTAATGCGCCCAAGAGATTATTATTATTACTATTACTATTATTATTATTATTATTATTATTATTATTATTATTATTGCATCAAGAGTAGAGAGACTCTTAGTGATTTTAATGTGTACCTACATGCCAGCACAGTGTGTAAGTTTATTTAGGTACAGGTGTACACAAGTTTAATTATCAAGTACAATACATATAAAATATACAATAACTTTAAAACACTTGAAATTTTGGAAAGTTTCCAGACATAATAAGGAGATGTGCTCGGGGAGAATGTAAACAAACTCGGTGGGCCGCTGTGACCGTATTAGAAAGACAGGTGGGGGTAGCCGTATAGCGAATTTTGGTCATAATTTGAAATGTCCGTATTAGCGGAACGCCGTAAAGCGAAACGCCGTAAAGCGGGGCCCTGCTGTAGTTGATAAACTAAGAACCTTTTTATTAGAAGATACTTTGCACTAAATGGTGTTTTATGAAGTTAATCAATCTGCACAGTTGTATATACTGTGTAGTGGTGTTGGAGAACCTGTCATGTGGGGATGAGATGTGTGTAGATAAGAGGGCCAGATGGTCAGCAGCAACTGTCCAGGGAGGTACTACCATCTTGGGAGATGAGTGTGAAATAGAAACCCCTTATATTTTTTTGCATTGGCAGAATTGTGGAATTTTGTCTAGTGAACACTTAAAGGTAAATCTTAAAATCTTTAACTTAATTTCAGTATACACACAATCTTGCTTTTCAATGTGCTTTTTAATACCTCTTAATCCTGTAGTAATTAAGAAAAAAAAAGGAAATGGTGAAGTTTGGTTGTTTGAACATGCATGGGTATTGCACAGATAAAAATAAGTTATTGTTAAAGTTATAAAAAGCTGGATGTCGTAGCTCCTAATTTTTTTTTAGGGTCAAGACCCCTGTTTGCAAACTTGCTCCAAGTGTCAAAAAAAAAAAAAAAAAAAAAATTGTGAAATGGTAGAGGATCTTTTTCTGAAGGTAATGAAACCAGAAGAACAAAATTTGACGGAAAACTTACAGAATTGTGCTCTCGCGAAATTAGTGGTCTCGGCAGTATTTACGCATTGGTGATTTTTCCCACGTTGAACCCTATTTTGGGCCAATTCCATTGTTCCAGTCAACCAAACACATAACTGTTTAGCAAGAATTCCTTTCATTCTGTTGATTAAGTACAAGAAATTACCATTTACCTATTTTAACTACCCAATAAAGTGATCAGAAATTACTAATTTGGCCAGTTTCACACATTAAGAAATTGCCACATTCAAAATAGGGTCCAGAATAAACATTGTAGATATTCTTGGCACTAAAACATTTCCTCTGTTCATTAGTCACATCCTCAAGCCTCTCCTATATTAGGCTTTCTTTCCATTTTGAATTTTTATAACATGCTCACTCAGCACCTGGACCAGATTCATGGAATGCTCTGTAAAGAAGTGCATAGTACCACTAGCATGAGCCGTCAGTATACTTTGGAGAAAGAGCCTAGATCTAGGTGAAATACCAGAAACCTTAGAGTGCAGACATAGCTCCTTGGTGTAAGGGAGGTAATAGAGCACTAGCTAAAATTTACAGACCAGTAGCCCTAACTTCCCACATCATAAAATCTTCAAAAGAGCGATGAGACGTTAGATTACAAATTTCGTGGACCAGCACAACCGGCATAACACAAACCAGCATGATCATGCCTGTCACAGCTGCTGAACCACCATGACATAATTATGGAGGCATTGGAAGGCAACCAAAAGGTAGTTGTGACATATGCAGATTTTGCAAAGGCATTTGACAGGTTGGTAGACAGCAACCACCCAGGGAAGTACTACCGTCCTGCCAGATGACTGTGAAACAAAAACCTGTAACTGTTTTGCATGATGGTAGGATTGCTGATTTTCTTTTTCTGTCTCATAAACACGCTAGATAACAGGGATATCTTGCTACTCCTACTTACACTTTGGTCACACTTCACAGACACGCACATGCATATATATATATACATACATCTAGGTTTTTCTCCTTATTCTAAATAGCTCTTGTTCTTTTTTATTTCTTCTATTGTCCATGGGGAAGTGGAAAAGAATCTTTCCTCCGTAAGCCATGCGTGTCGTATGAGGCGACTAAAATGCCGGGAGCAATGGGCTAGTAACCCCTTCTCCTGTATACATTTACTAAAAAAGAGAAGAAGAAAAACTTTATAAAACTGGGTTGTTTAAATGTGCGTGGATGTAGTGCGGATGACAAGAAACAGATGATTGCTGATGTTATGAATGAAAAGAAGTTGGATGTCCTGGCTCTAAGCGAAACAAAGCTGAAGGGGGTAGGAGAGTTTCAGTGGGGGGAAATAAATGGGATTAAATCTGGAGTATCTGAGAGAGTTAGAGCAAAGGAAGGGGTAGCAGTAATGTTAAATGATCAGTTATGGAAGGAGAAAAGAGAATATGAATGTGTAAATTCGAGAATTATGTGGATTAAAGTAAAGGTTGGATGCGAGAAGTGGGTCATAATAAGCGTGTATGCACCTGGAGAAGAGAGGAATGCAGAGGAGAGAGAGAGATTTTGGGAGATGTTAAGTGAATGTATAGGAGCCTTTGAACCAAGTGAGAGAGTAATTGTGGTAGGGGACCTGAATGCTAAAGTAGGAGAAACTTTTAGAGAGGGTGTGGTAGGTAAGTTTGGGGTGCCAGGTGTAAATGATAATGGGAGCCCTTTGATTGAACTTTGTATAGAAAGGGGTTTAGTTATAGGTAATACATATTTTAAGAAAAAGAGGATAAATAAGTATACACGATATGATGTAGGGCGAAATGACAGTAGTTTGTTGGATTATGTATTAGTAGATAAAAGACTGTTGAGTAGACTTCAGGATGTACATGTTTATCGAGGGGCCACAGATATATCAGATCACTTTCTAGTTGTAGCTACACTGAGAGTAAAAGGTAGATGGGATACAAGGAGAATAGAAGCATCAGGGAAGAGAGAGGTGAAGGTTTATAAACTAAAAGAGGAGGCAGTTAGGGTAAGATATAAACAGCTATTGGAGGATAGATGGGCTAATGAGAGCATAGGCAATGGGGTCGAAGAGGAATGGGGTAGGTTTAAAAATGTAGTGTTAGAGTGTTCAGCAGAAGTTTGTGGTTACAGGAAAGTGGGTGCAGGAGGGAAGAGGAGCGATTGGTGGAATGATGATGTAAAGAGAGTAGTAAGGGAGAAAAAGTTAGCATATGAGAAGTTTTTACAAAGTAGAAGTGATGCAAGGAGGGAAGAGTATATGGAGAAAAAGAGAGAGGTTAAGAGAGTGGTGAAGCAATGTAAAAAGAGAGCAAATGAGAGAGTGGGTGAGCTGTTATCAACAAATTTTGTTGAAAATAAGAAAAAGTTTTGGAGTGAGATTAACAAGTAAGGAAGCCTAGAGAACAAATGGATTTGTCAGTTAAAAATAGGAGAGGAGAGTTATTAAATGGAGAGTTAGAGGTATTGGGAAGATGGAGGGAATATTTTGAGGAATTGTTAAATGTTGATGAAGATAGG